TATCTCGATCCACGAAACTGATTTAGTGGTTAGGAGCAGGACTGCGGTATGAACGGGTATTTACACTCACATACCCACACAATATGCCTCCCAGTCATCTAGCGCTCCATCGGGACGTGCCAATGACTTTCCACCTCGAAGCGAGCTAACACCACGCCCCGAATCAAAGGCCGGGATTAGATGCGCTCCTCGAATCACCTGCCCCGGTCAAGAAATCCAAATGCGTCCGTGTCCGACTGATCCACAAAGGCCACCCTTGGAAGACGAGCATATTTCATACCAGATTTATAGTTCCTCAGCGGGGCCAGCCATCTAACCCAAAGAACATCAAGGTGATGCTTCACAAGCATGCCTCCGTTGTTTAGCCATGTTTCCATATGATAGATGGCCAACACGCGGGCATACCAATATGGGTGGGTAGGCGTTGTCTCCCCTGAGAGTACCATGACGTCTGCGTGCGTTCTAGGGTTAATTGTATCGTACTCGCGCCTCATGTCATATGTAGTGTAATGAACTTGCATGGTCTGAACAGCGTAGATTGTGTCGTTAGGAATGATAACCGAGTTTCGCTCTTCGTCCGTGAACATGTGGTTCGCAGGAGCTGAATATCGAGCTTGCGCAGTCTATAAAGAGACGGTGTCCTTGAGTTTCGGTAGTAAAAGTTACTGATAACCATTCGTGAGGTAAGGTGCATTGAAAAAAAATGTGACATTACGGCTACGTCTTTGAGAGCTGGATCATCAGCGTGGTCTCGAAGGAACGTAAACAAAGCGACTGGATTGTTCTGACTGATCGCAATATGGTGATGCTTTCCGGAGGAGGGGGCATCAACTGGAGATAGACTGGTAGATGTGGATGTACCCCCTGCTTCTGCCACACGCCGTAGCACACGACGCCTGCGCTCATGTTTGGCTAGCTGCGCGGGGGTGTCAAGTTTGCTGGTCAGCGGATAGAAAGCCTTTAGAGCTCGGTGTGCAAGTTCTCCCTGTGCCAAGCTTCAGATCTGTATTCATAGGATGCAGCCGATACGCACGATTTGGGTGGAAAAGGAGTCCGTGGTCCCGAAGAACCTGATAGTTCTAACATAGTCTCCCATGGCGTGAAACTTATAGGTATTTAAATTAAACTTCTTCCCCCTCGCCCTACTTGATTCCGGGAGAGCGTTACCAGTTTCCGAGCGCTTCGCGAACCTTCTTTGACGAGCTGATTTCTCCTTTGGTAGCTCCACCGTGTTGAAAGCAGCACATGTATGAGCCTGAAACTTCCGCAACCTTCGAGAGAGTTTCTTGAAGGTTTCGTCAAGAAAAACCAAGGTGGAGTCGGAGTGTATTCTGAGCTTAGCGAGTGCGTGCCACTGCGCAAATTGATATAGAAGAGACTGGATAGCCGCATCGTCGTCGGGAAGAAACAGTCCTTCGAAAACCGGAATAGCACACTAGTAGGTATGTTAGCGAGCATTCTATTAAATTTTTAAAAAAAACACGACTGAACCTGTAAAATGTCTTCAAAGTCACGAGCGGCCAGCTTTTTCATCTCGGAGGTATTGTTGGAAAACTTGCGTATTACCCCGTTACCGAATGTCGGGACTTCACGAAATCTAGGGTAAGAATGAGAAATTAATGATTTGTTAGTAGGTAATAATACTCTATACAAATCAATAATTCTGTATACCTGGTGTCGAGGGTCACAACGATTTGAGCACCCCCAGGAAGGACATAAAGAAGTCTCAGAAGGTGCGTAAATAGACCCTTCCAGGTCCCTAATTCGCACTCGTGCATGATGTCGACAACGAGCATACGAAATGGATCGAGGCTGAGCGCTCCAAGTTTATTAACGAACTGATTCTGGGAACGCTGGTTTGAGCCAATCGTACTCGTGTGGAATCAGTCTCGCTTACCAGAATAGGCGCCCACGAGCCTTCTCCGAGGGTGTCTTCAATCTTGGCACTATCTACAGTATTTCCCAATCGATAGATAAACTTGCGAGCTTTGATGACCTTGGCCGTAGCATATACTCGAAGGTTGGTAAGGCGGCTTTTCATATCCCTCACGAGACCAAGACAACCAAACAAGCCTTTCGGTACGAGGCAGCGAGGGCATGGACACAAGCCCATATCCTTTATAGTCGCGATTAGAACCCTGGAGATTCATGAGCCATGTTGTTAACTACGCAATAAAAAACGTACTTCTCCGGATAATCAGCAGAATACGTGAAGATCCAAGGGTATACTCTCCGCATCACTCCATCAGCGCATTTCAGAACAAAACTGTGTTGATACGCGTAAACAAATTCTTCGTCCAGTAATATTTTCCAGCACGCATGAAACAACTCCCTGCGGCAGTGGGTGTGAAGGGAGGCCATGCCCGTTTTTGATACTCGAGGCAGGCTACCGAGGATATCTTTGATTTTATCGGGAAGCTGGTGGGGGAGTTAATGTCCACGGCGATCGATAAACATGCAATCAAAGTGCTCACCGACGGAAAGAATCCTACGAGGTGACATGATCCCGATGTTGGTGACGAGCGTATATATTTCGTCAGATTTCCGAAGTACGCATAAAGCGGCCAAGCCTTTGCGGTCCCAAAATTTGCCAGGTGAGTCGCGTCGGAAAAGAACATTAGACCTGCGACGACCCGTTCCAACGAACACCCAGGCTCCTTCGGTTGCTTGTGAATACTGTCCTGAGCTTCCAACCAGGCATCTGAGGTGTAAAGTTCGTCGTATATCCGCTCTTCGTGCCCATCTAGAGGATCCTTCCACAGACGTTTGAAGGGCAAGAGGTGAAATGCCCCTGCTTGAGCATCTGCGAATGCCGCACATATAACTTCAATAAGAGGGCGGTAATGAAACCCGGGAACGGTATAAGGCATTGGACTATCCTCCCTTGCCCTCGTTGGAATGTCAACAGTGACGGAGGTCTCGATCCAGTCATCCGGAAAGGTGATTCTCTTCCCGCTCTCATCTTTATCCAATTCTCGCAAGCTTTGCCTCACCGAGAATCCTTGAAGGTGTTCGCGGTCAAAATCCTCTGCTAGCATTACATCCTTGACGAGGGACGCAACTTTAGATTCCGATACCCGACTGCTACCAGAATTCATCCAGGAGATGAGCCGATAGATCGTCATATTTGCGAAGGGGTACGGAGGAGCAAAGACCTGCGGTGGAGAATCAGTGCCTTCAGCAGCAGTAGGACACGTCCTCGCAAGTAACGAGGATGGAACAAATTTATCCGGCTCGAATGAAGGACGACGAGGGTACAGTCTGCAAAGACCGAATGAGTTGAAGGTTGTCTGAAGTGTATCTGCCAGCGTCAGAAGAACACGTCGAATCCTGGCTCGAGCTGGAAGGGTACCCCGAATTTTGAGTCGATACATTGTGATCATCAGTATTATCAGAGATGTTAAGATCCTCCTCGGAGCGCTCGACATCACCATAATGCCTTGGGATTCGTCTCATAGGGCGTGCCCGTTCATCTAAACAAGTAAAAGTGATTAGAACACTATGTCCGCTATTCAAAGACACACGAACCAGAGGTATCTATGTCGACATCCATCTCAACATCGTTGTCGTTTTCTGGGTTGGTGCAGTGCTGCGAGTTGGCGAGACTGGACTTGGATGTATCACCGATGCGAGGGGCAGACCCTCGCCTCTGCTCTGCCGGTGACCGGCAAGGAGCAATTGGTTTTGGACGGCCAGTTCTCTGATGTTCAAGTTCACACGAGTTAAGGATAACCATGGTAGCTAAGAGGACCACTTACATGTGAAGGCTTCACGAATGGCCGTCGCAGGTTACGGTAGGGAGCCAAATTTGCGGAGACAGCATCTCTGGCGCGTTCCTGTCTCTTCTGAGTTGCAAGCAAGCTAGACGTCTTGTAGGAATGACATGATGCACGATGCCTGTTGAGTCCACGTGCATCCGTCGCCCTCTCCCAAGAGCAACCTGTACCACCGCACGACACCATTAGCAAAAACAAGCTTGAAAGGAGGGCGACAATCCAAAGAGATCCTGCAAGGCCCAGACGCATTGCACTTTTGAGTTGCTAGCAACTTGAAGAAGATGCGGCTAGCTTCAACTGCGAGGCAACGGCAGTCGTTCGAGTCTTTGAGATGCAACTATGTCATACAGTTCTTCAAAGTTGATGCTAGTAAGCGGCTACATATAGTACCTACGGTCCAATTTCAACATTAATTGAGTGTGGTCATAGAGCTCACTGGGGACTTACCTGTTTTGTACTGCCGCGTCAACTGTTCCATTGCCCTTCGGCAGTATGTTCCGTACACAATCCGCGACGCGAGACCCCAAATTTAATGGTTCCGGTGCTTCCAAATCAACATGAACTACTGCGTTGCACGTATTTCATGGTCTGACTCACCCGGCCATTCCCTCAGTATTGGACCGTGACCGCTGACCCTCCCGCAGTTGGCAGATTCTGGTGATTGCGAAGTAGTCATCGAATGACTTTGGCATGACCTATATCCTTCCGAGTCTTCCTTCAACGTTGTCAACCATGATCGTATTACCAGTAGATGGGTAAGTCAGACCCGCGCTTTCAAGGACTTTCGCTTGGCCGAGCCTCAACGTTGCAACCTCAAGGAGTCGTTCAGAATGAATATGTCCTTTCCTGGCGAGGAGTCTTATAAATTAATAGCTGAGTACTGAATATACTCTGACGATAAGGACTGATGGATGATCCGAGCAACCACTTCTCTCACGCAGGACTCCGCGTTCGGATGTTGCCGACTATTCAATCCTTAGGCCTCCTCCTTTGGTTGAAGTTCTCACAACCCGATACAACCACTAGACAGCATTTGCGATGAGTAGCTCTTCAGAATCAAGAGGTAATTCTAATAAGCCCAGGTTTGTTGTTCCAAATTGTGGCTAAATACTGCACCTCCATTTACTGTATCTTGCAGGGTCGTTATCCACACCACCGACATCTATTGGACCTAGTAGCTCCCCTCTCAAGTGTAGCACCCCTCCCACGTGTAGCTCGCCTCCCATGAGTAGCCCTCGCATCCCGTCACGCGCAAAGACTGTTGCCAATAATTCTGCCCTTCACGTTGATGAGTTTAGCACTCCAAATCCAATGCAGAGCTTGGGTAACGGCGGTCATCGCAAGCGCCCCATCACGTATGGCTTAGTTCAAGGTGGCCTCCAATATGAGGATTGCAACCCACCTACAAAGAAATTCAAGAATCTCCAAACTACGGTGTGTTCAGTGGAATTTTAGACGTCCAGATTTTCATATATATATTTTTAAGTGGAACACTCCTGCCGCCCTCACCAGAAGCTACAAATTATCTCAACGAACGCAAGCTCGAACTATCGCGCATCACTCGCCGGCTATAGCCGCGAGAATGTGATATCAACGCCTTCGCTGCCGCAACTAGATCTCATAAGAGCTATCCTTGAAGGTGAAGAAGACTTGTCCCAAACAGAGATGAAGGGGATTGACGCTCAATTGGTGCTATCTGCAACATCCTCGAGGGATGCAGGAGTTACGGCGATAGGAAACAAAGGTTGTAGGTTCGACCCCAGTGATATCGGGCCTTGGTGCCGAAAGCTCTTCAGATGAGTCGGATAAACCTGGGGCAGCTCCATTGGTATCTGGATCTCTTTGCAGTTCAACCTGTACGTCGGATTTGGAAGAATGACAATTTTTATTATATTTCCTAAGCATGTATGTTCTTTTCAATGTAGTTTTTAGTTTCAAACCTGGAATTCGAGTTTATTAGGTTTCCTCGACGATCAGGACGCGTATGTTGAATGGGTGCAAGTTCCACGGCAAGTGTTCACCCATTACTGTAGTATCCTCAGTCAATGAACAAACAAGTCGAGTCAAGGTTCGCACTCGGCTCAGGCCGAGTTCTTTGGTCTGTGTGCATATTCGTCAATACCGTCCCGCTTGCCCTTCTCAGATTCACATAAGCAAGCGTCGCAATGGGGAAAGTTTGCTAAGTGTTAAGAAACCAATTGTGCAACGTCGTCAGCTGTGAGTTGCCATATTTGGTATAATTACTTCACCCGGTTCAGCCCCTCTTCAAGGTTAAGACCACTGTTATTATCCCGTCATCATTCTGCTTGACCGATAAATGTTACACTATATCGACCATTCACGTTAACTTTATGGAGTCCTGGATGCCGCATCAGTAAGTCAATCGAATTGAACGATCAATTTGAAAATCACTATTGATATACAGAAGGCCTGAGCGTTTTCAACCAAACGAAATTTTCGGAGATCCGGGGGAGATCACAGTCTTATCATCGAGTCACAATGAAGGGCAGGTGCGTAAATGTAATTCTATGCGAGCAACAGCTAGTAATCACCGTCAATTGCGCTTAGGTTTTACATGTTCATGCCCTAACATCATTCCCCTATAGCAAGTTTTTGGTAAGTTGCATGAGGTCCGCTTGACGCGCAAATTCCCGGGTCAGACTGGTTGGAAAACAGGTCAAGCTTCGTCGACCATTCTCATCTTGGCCCACTGGCAGTGTCGATCTAATAATAAAACATTTTCGATTACAGTTTACAACTCAATATTGATGTACTGGTATCCGCTATTTAATTCGCCTCCCTCGAATTCTCCCTCTACTCCAAATCCAAGCCCACCATCATGTCGTTTCGTACTTTACCATACGACTCAATAGATCCCTCCAGTTGCACCAGGCGGCGGTCCGCCCTGCGGCCTCACACCCCAGGATTATCGCATCGCATATTTCCTTACTCACGCAAGTACTAGTGGTCGTGACGCACACTCCGACTCCGCATCGTTGGCGTCGACGAGCTTGATATCAGCTGACACGACCAGTAATATGGGCCCGGGTGACACGGAGGGAAAGCGGTTCAATGAGCACAGTCCAACTGAACAAGTCGCCCTCGCATGGGCGAAAAGGCGCATCATTCTCAACTCCATTACGACCACAGGCTGGTTACGAAACATCACCCCAGAAGAAAAAAAGGTCATGAACGGCTACATCATCGAGCTCGTTAACCAGGCCAACACAAAGTTTGGATGTGGTACGTACTCATTACCATCCCGGATCACGACAGAACTCATTTACAAACACTAGAATTGGAGGCGTCCCCGAGGGTAATAGAAAGCATTCTAAAGGCCCTCTTGCTCAATCGTCGACAACTCTCGAAAATTTCGGAGTATCTCGCCAATCCCTACGACATCGAACCGCCATCAGAGTTCAACTTGTCGGAACAGGACCGCCAAGCTTTCATGGATGACCGCGAAAACGAGTTATTAGACTCAGCCTCGCCCTTCACCTATTACCTTTATGGTCAGGAAGTCACTGATATATCTGTTTTCATCCTTCTGTTCGCAAACCCCGTGGTGGAACACGTGCACATATCACACTGGTACGCTAGCAAAAGCACGCCACTCCGAGATGAGGACATGAGAAGCGAGATCAAAACTACTCCGTCTCAGATGTTAGCAGAATCGGCGGTCTCGGTAAGTTGCCGACTCTAATTCTAGTGTTCACATGTTGATGTATGGTTTACAGGTGAGGTTAGCAATCCGACGCACTGCAAGGGGAAAAAAGTCACCAACAGGCGCCTCCCTCCAATTCAAGACAGATCCATACGCCGATGAGCAGGACGCAATCAATGAAGCAATATTGAAGGCATTAAAGTCTCCCATCCATGGGGCTGCGCTGGAAGCACGTTTGCTATATCTTCACCACCGAGGCATGTGAGTAATTCTCGCTACATTGGACCCGAGTGTTATGCTCACACTTTTTCAGGTTTGCTCTCCGTGGCTCACTGGGCCTGGATCCGCCCGAAAATGCGATCGGTTTAATGGAGGAAGATTCGCAAATAGTACACGAGGCACGACAATACGCACGGGCCACTGGCCTGCTGTTCCCCCAAGTCAGTCGAGATTTGGTGATGGCGGGGTCACACGGGCGTCTGATGCCAGACTACTCCAAATCTGTTTACGTTCCTGATTCCATCGAGGAGCTGATCTTTCCGCGGGCTGATATCGCCCCACCTTCGACTGTGCACCCGCAAATGTCGGCAGCAGTCACGGTGGACTCAGGCTTGTCTGAGGCTGTTGTCCCATCTTCTAGCACAGACTTTAGTATGCCAGTGCCGTCCGAGTCGGCGTATGTTGAACTACCGTATAATTTTGGTGACGACTTCTTTGATTTTCCCCAGACATACCCATTAAATGTTGAACCTGATCAGTACCTAACAGGAGGGTTCATGGGCGGACTCGACCATGACGTGCCATGATATTACACTAACATCATACTACTAGCTAGTGTTTGGCCGTTTCGTTCGCCCTTTTTCGAAGTTTTGGTACATCAGATATCGCATTTGCTCAATTGTACAGTATGATCTACTTATTGGTTACAGAAAATATACGTCCCTTGCGCATTCTTTGACTCTACCCATGGCCCGGGTCTCCGCCATTTGTCCTTAGCTAGTTCCTGCGCTTCCGCGAGGATAAGTGAGACCAATTAGAGAAAATATAGCGTCCTTCAAAAATTAACTACGGTGTATGCGCGTGATGCAACTGCATGTTCCTGGAGCTAGCCTATTAATATTATTCTAATGAGTCATGGTCAACAAAAGTACCGTGGGAAGGGTAACCGGTCAGCTGATCCTGCATCTTATTTGTTCGAGTTTTGTTCCTGTGCTACGCCTCATCGATAAGAGCTACCAGTATCGATGTGCACATGCACTGCATCCTAGTCCGCGTCTGCCATGTCGATACAAAGCCCATCCTCGCAATGGAAAAGTTGAAGCTGGCCTTCAAAAACTATCATGACCGCCATGATCAGTACATTCGCTGTGAGTCCTTGTCGACTTCTCAAGGTAATCTGTAATCACCTCGACGGCGCCTAGGCTATAGCTAGGACCTTACATGCAGATGCCTTAACCAAAGATTTAGGAAACATCGTAGACAATTTTATTCTGTAGCCAGGACCGTTTAAAATCATGAGGAGTCAAGACTGTTTTTCTTGGGCCAGTGGACCGCGAAAACGAGTTATTAGACTCAGCCTCGCCCTTCACCTAATACCTTCATGGTCAGGAAGTCACTGATATGTCTGTTTTCATCCTTCTGTTCGGCAACATACTCGGCGGCCAGTCTGAGGTCAGGAGGCTTTTCAAAGAAGTCTACTATGTGCTGCCAGAATAACATAAAAGGTCATGCCCAAGGCTTCATATCAGCAACTGGAGTAAGCCACATTTATTCCTGTGTGCATTCGCTAACGGATTCTACTACCTGCAGCAACTCATCTGGCAAACTTTGGGACCGAAAAGTCTTGGAGTATCAAAAACGAGCATGGCCTCCCATCACACCCACTGTTGCAGGGAGTTGTTTTATGCGTGCTGGGAAATATTACTGGACGAAGAATTTGTTGACGCGTATCAACACGGTTTTGTTCTGAAACGCGCCGATGATGGCGCTTAGGTTTTTACATGTTTATGCCCTAACCTCGGAGACTCTGATCATTACTGGGCCCACACTGTATCGATGCAGTTGGGCCAGACCCTACTGATTGCTTTGTTTTTTTACTGTCAACTGCAGACGGGACCTGACGTAATTATTGCTGAAGAAAGGTCGGCTGGTTGATGATTGTCGCTGCATTTGATGAGTGGTCTTAACCTCGAAGAGGGGCTGAACCGGGTGAAGCAATTATATGTTGACAACGACTAACTCATTGGTGGCAGTGTCGACATCCGGCCCGACATATTTCCCCGGCAACATCGTTGGCCAATTTTACTTCCTCCGGATATACCATTGGCACACCGCGTGTCTTTTCGCGCTACAAGAGACATTCATTATGCATCGATTCGGGACCCCAGTTACTTATCTTCCCAATGCTGCGACTGTTTTATCGATTGACAAAGTCGTGTACCTCTACTCGACCGTCTGAAGTATCATCGGCGGGACTTTGAATTCGGTACGTTTTCCCATGGCGTTCATCTCACAATTTCGTCACCAACTGAATACTCCTCCACCCACCTGAATTGTTACCGCTTCTCGATGGGGATCATCATACGGACGAACTCTCAATTGCAGACGGGACCCGACGTAATTATTGCTGAAGAAAGGTGAGTGGTCTCAACCTTGAAGAGGGGCTGAGCAATTATACTTTGACGGCACGACTAACTCTTTGTTGGCAGTGTCGACATCCGGCCCGACATATTTCCCCGGCAACATCGTGTCAGGTGTCTCGCCCGATCGTTTTGATCACTGGGCATGTGAACCAGCCCAGGCTGGTCACGTGGTTTTTCGACTCGGCAGCTATACTTTCCAGGCGTCACGATCGGTCACACTGTGACTGGACCGCGGGTTTTCGAGTCGGCAGTTATACTTCCTCCGGATATGCCGTCACCAACTGAAATCTCCTCCACCCCCTGAATTTTTACCGCTTTTCGATGGGGATCATCATACGGACGAACTGTGTACGCACTTCGAAGGTAGGTCAGACGGCCCGCATATAATGTGTTACAAGTTCGGTTCACACCGGTTTGGTTCATCTCACAGTTTTCATTTTGGTAAGATCTTCCCGCGCACAGGAGCTAAGTCCCAGAGGTGCGATCTCATTACCCTCCTCATTTCTTGTAAGTCGAGGAGATGTGCTGGCATCTACGAAACGCGTCCACTAACTCTCTCGATACAGTGGAGAAGAGTCCCACGCCTATCGTTCTCCAACAACATCCAACCCATCCGAGTCCAACACCAGCAACTCAAGTACGATCCCAGTCGCCATCGTCCTCTTGCCTCAATGTAAGTACACTCCTCACTCGTGTTCCTATCTTTGTTTTCTCACTGTTCTTTGACAGGCCGATGCGACAAATTCGGCGAGGGACGACGACATCATCGAGGAGGGTAGGCACGATCCTTACGATGATTTTTTCAGGGTGAGTTCATAGTCTGTCACGCAACTAACACTGACGCGTTAATGCAGTCGTCCCCTACTCCCGATCAGCCCTCCCGCATATCATCGCTTCATCAGTTCTGGCACGCAATCTCACAACATCACCTCCCGGCAGTTAAGCGTGGATTTTTCAGGCGTCGCGCTCACTCCGAATCAAATGTTTCCCCCGATCCTGTACTCAACCAATCGCCAGAAGTAGAAGTCCGAGTAGGTGAGGAACGCGATGTAGCGGCGAGACATCCCGAGGTCGTTGAGGTATACGCTGTGCGCGGGTTCCAGGTGAATTTCGGTTTTATCCCATTGGTCTTCTGATTTTTTCAATATTAATCATAGGGGTATGTCGCAATGGCGCCCAAAAAGAAGCCAAAGCCACCGGTAGTAGCAGGTGGTTCGTTGCAACCGGCGCACATATCAGGCGCTAATCCATCGCACGTCGTCACCGCCCACCAAGCTAGTGACTCGGATTCAATTACCAGATTCAATAAATTCCTCAACAAGATATGTTTTCCCTGTGGGCGCTTCTACGAAGATACTTAGTGCAGATCTGTTTTTTTATCCATGGTACATAATGTTGTCATTCTCGATATCGCTGCTCTTCCCCTACTGTCTACAAGGGAACTGTTGACTTTGTAGTCTCAGGAAAAGAGTACTGGGCGCCACCTTTACCGAGGATGAATTCATCTTATTTCTCCATCGACCCACCTTCCTCTCAAGCACGCGAACCCAAATCCCTGAACTGCCCTTTTGCACTTGACGTCTCGGCGGATGCCGTATGAACAGGTTTTCTCAAGTCTACCTGCAATGTCCTGCGAGATCTACTATACGGCGGTACCTCCTTTGACGGGATCCAGTCAGATACATCCTTTCCCCGAGGCTGCCAGCTTGCGATTCTGACATATGACACTTCCTTGCACTTTTACGATCTGACTGTAAGCGCACAACTCGCATCATTGCATCAAGTTGATGTATACAATTTCTAGCCAGCCTCATCGCCAGCGAGCATGATCGTGGTTTCCGATTTAGAGGAAGTATTTACTCCTTTGCGTGAGGGCTTGTTTGTAGATCCCTGGAAATCTAGGTCAGGAACCTTTACTACCTTAATTATCAACGCACTCTTATTCCCTGTTTAAGGACCGCCAAGCATGTACAACAGTGGCCATCAGCGTGAGCGATACTTGGGACGGCGCACTACTTGACGTGAGTGACCCCAGACTTTGTCCTGTTAGTTGTGCTGACAGAACACCAACTATAGTTCCTCGTAGACTGCGAGATTGCTCAAGAAACAGATGCGGGCCATGTACGATTCTCCAGATACATGAGACACGAGAGGGTCTCTCACATGAACGGTGCTGTAGATCGTTTTCAGTTGGTTCTGGACCGCTGTCCGGTCGACCATCCTGATCACGCAGCGGCTCTAACCAACTTTGCGTGGGCCCGCCTTCAAGGCTATATTCATAACGATCTCCAAAACATTGATACCACCACTTCCCTCTTCCACGAAGCCCTTGCATTGCGGCCGCAGGGCCATCCCGACCACATATTATATCTCTATAATCTCATTTCCGCATTGATCTGGCGCTACAGCAAGGAACGCACCGCCGTCTTCATTCACGAATCCCTGCAGCTGTGCTGCAAGCTACTGCCCCTCTGTCCAGAGGGCACCTACCTTCGTAGCATCGGCGTAGACAGTGCGGGGCCTCTCGACTCAAAACTCCAGTTGAAGAACTCGAATCGGGACATCCACATCTAGCCCGCAAATTTTCGGAGCTGAGCAAGCGCGTTTCCAACGCCGCTCAGGGTTCTGCAGCCATCACCGACAGAGCTGCTGCTGATCGAGCAGCAACAGAGTACAGGAAACTTATAAGGCAATGGGATGCTGTGGTAGCTGAAATATGTGATCTTCGAGGTTTCTCGCGGTTCCTACTTCCACCTTTGTACGAAGATTTGCAAGTGGCAGCTCGCAATGGCCCGGTCATCATCCTCATTGCCAGCAAATACTCATGCAGTGCCATCGTTGTCCCGACGTCAGGAGAGCCCCATCATGTTCGCTTCCCGCGCATCACTCTACCATTGAAGGTCTACTCGATGCATTACCGGAACGTTATCTAGATACCGTCATTGATAATGCAGCACTTGGGGGAGCACTACTTGCTGGTCTAGCTTCGCTTGTACGTCCCAGCCTCTAAGCCCTTGGTCTAGGCTAAAGTTTACTCGTGCAGGCAGGCCGGGGCGGCCATATCATTCGTTGCTACCGTGTTCTTCAAGTGTTCTTACAACCCTGTCTGATTATTGTTCCAGAGATGTCGTCATTTTCGCCAATTTTAATCAAGTACGTGCCCTGTTCTTGGTTCAATTCACTTGCTGTTGTTGATTTTTGTTACTTCTAGGGTGGAATGACATGTTCCAGTCGTGTCGCAGCGGATCCGATCCCTACTTCTCAGTCTCGTTTCGCGAACTCTCGATTGTCACCCCTAAATCTATCTTCGCCTTCCGCACTTCATCGTCACGGGGATCACCACTTTCCTCGAAAGCTCTTTCACCGGAAGCAGAAAGAGCGCGCAGGTGCTCCTCTCGATTCCTCGTGCCTGCACTGTGATCCACGCTCATGCGATCTCGCATAACGGACGGACCGATACTACGGAGGTAAGAAATTGTCGTATCAGCAGTAGATCCAGTACTCACCTTTGATATCCCTCTCTTGGCACCACATGCCTTGGTCGCAACACCATTGGTCTACCCGCGATCACCACCACTACGGCCCTATGGTCTTCAGCAAATCGTGCATATCTCTTTGAATCATGTGAGTGGATGATCAACGAGCATTTAATTCACTTACAGGATTTTGAGGTCCCATTGATAGTAATCTAGTGAGATTGATAGTATGGCTGTGCGTCACAGCGGCACATTGGCATCACCCTTTTTCACCTGGGTAGCCCAATTAGGAAGCCTTACTAGGCTGAACGATAACGTGCCTCGTCAACTATAATTAGGCTAGGATGTAGTAATATCCAGACACCAGTATTAAACCGTGCCCCAAATCACCTTGTATCTCTACCACCACCAAAGCCTAGTACTAATGTTTAAGTAAGCTGGCGCCCCGCCCCAGGAACGTATACCGCCGCCGCGCTCAATCCGGCACTTCCCGCAATGCGCCTATTTTCGTCATAGAGGTTGATTTGTCGGGTTCCCACGACCTTTCCCTTATCCCGACCACATAGCAGGCTGCTCACTGCAGGCAATCGCTGCCGCCTCTATAGCCTGGCCACTGCCCTCTACAACATCTGCCCAAGGCCACCACTGCCCTCTACAACATCTGCTTCATCTGCCTCACCCAAAATCCCAGCACCGCAGTCGTCTCTGCGCCCCCAGCACGTTGCTTGCAGCATTCTGCCTCCCATCCCACTCTACAACACCTGTCCCAGCACGCTGCTTGCACCAACCTGCCTCCCACCTTGTTATCCTTGCCCACCACCGCCCTCTACAACCCCTGCCCAAGTGGTCTGTGCACCCACCAACGCTCTAGTCTCGGCTACTCACCTACGCCCACAGAGTCATCACTTAGGGATCGCACTATTCAGATATTCACCCACCAACGCTCTAGTCTCGGCTACTCACCTACGCCCACAGAGTCATCACTTAGGGATCGCACTATTCAGATATTCACCCACCAACGCTCTGCTCTCAGCTACTCACCTATGCCCACAGAGTCATCACTTGGGGATCGCACTATTCAGATATCTGGTCTCGCACCCACCAATGCTCCGCTCTCAGCTACTCGCCTACGCCCACAGAGTCATCGCCTTATCGTCCTCACAGTTCCCAACCATCCCACCGGCTCCCAATCTCGTCTCGCACCCACCAACGCTCTGCTCTCATG